TCACTCTTCAGTTTTCATTAAGGCAAACAAAAATGAAAATTACGGTGGAGAGAGAAGGGAAGAAAAAGAATTGTAAGAAAGCGGAAAAGGAGGGAAATCAAGGACTTGGAGAAGAAATTGGAATAGATGTACTTAGGAGACGGAGAATGAGCCAGTGAAGGAAAAAGAGGCGGAGATATTTCGAGAAAAGAAGAAAGGTAAAAGGAAAATAAAAAGAGAAAAGAAAGAGAAGGACGAGCAGAGAAAAGAAAAGAAGAAATAAAAGAAGCAGAAGAAAGAAAAGAAGAATACGAAAGAGAAGACGAATAAAAACAAACAAAAACTGCTGACAGCCCTAAACAGTGTGTTCTGCATTCACATAATGGATAATGTATTGTGTACATTCAAAATTTGCTTAAGAAGCCCCGGTACATCGGGGTCCTGACAACTAGATAGTTCTAACGACTTAATCCGAAACAATCGAATCGAATCAGTTTGGCTCCAATGTTATGCAGCACCAGGTAGCTTGTTCATCATGTTTGGGGTTTCCTGAAACTAATTCCTCGCATATTTAATTAATTTTCAGCGTCAAGAGCGGCTATATTTTTTCTTCTTTTTTAAAATCACCCCGAAAGTTCTGGACATTTGAAATTAATACAGAGTAGATAGTTACAACGCAGGTGAAGATAATTGATGGAACCTGCAAAATATTTGTCGCGTTTTCAAATTAACATTTCTAAACAAGTGCTGTGCTGCATATACTTTCTTTTATTATTCGAATCGGTTTCGTATTATTATACGTATTATTGCAATGTGTATCCTACGATTACACCTGCCATCTGCTGGAAAACTCTCATCGAACAAGGCATGGAACAAAAAAGTATAAACATGAAAAGAGTAGGACAAGTTCAAAAAATTAACCTTTTTCAATTTCCGAACACTCGGTGGGTTTATTGAAAATTGGAACTGCACATTTTTTATAACCGTACACTAAGCTATTCGAAGAGAGATTTAAAAAAAATGGAGATATCTTTGAGAGAGTGTTGAAAATGTTCCAGGGGCTTCGTGTGAAGTACCACCGTAAATATAGAAGCTTTTCAAATTCCCAGAGCCTGGTGATCGGTCAAATTAATTGGGAGATATCGTTATTTATTTATTTATTTATTTATTTATTTATTTATTTATTTATTTATTTAATTGTTTATTTATTTATTTGTACTCAAAAATCGAGAAAGAGGTTTCAAACAAATATTACATATTTTTGTTGTAGAATTTGCATCCGCAATTCAAATGCGGGTTTCTATTGAAAATGTCCACGGTGCCCCGTCACACAGGCTGAGGCGGACGAGCGCCAGTCAATACTCCCATCCAAAATAGCTATGGCTTAGTGCACAAACATTACATGTCGACTCAAGGCCGAGTTTACATCATTTGTAAAACCTTTTCGTTCATATCTACCTAATGTACAAAGATTATATGTCCATATAAGAGGATCATGTTTTTTCCCAGAAAGCGAACCTTGTCACTCTATAAGTAACTGCACTTTTACAAACATTCAAGCTTGGTTTTCTCGAAGCTATGAATTATCGATACACAATATGTGTGCACCAAGCCATCGATATTAACTATTACTTCAAATATTATTTTGCTATTACGCGAAGTTTTCATGATATTGCGACGTCGTCATGATACACGTATCTGCACCGAGATTCGTCTCAAACCCGAAAGCCCCGGCAGTTTCCTCTGCTAGCCTACGTCACGAGGAATCACGTGACAGCGTCCCCTAGCTGCTGTAGACTCGCGGGCCGCCTCATCTCATAACGGAGTTTTTGGGCCGGGAGCAAAACAGGGCCCGCCGGCCAGCTGCATTCCGAGGCTGTCGTCACACATCACCCCCCCCCTGCGCTAGCTGACACCCTTCTTCCAAGAACACGCCCCCGGTCCACTTCCTTACAAGAGACGACGAAGCTGTTGTAGCCGCCATCCTGGCGCCGGTGGACCTACCCCTTCCCCTCGCTGGCCCCGCCCTTGTGCGTGTCCCACAAAGCAAAATGCTATGACATTACA